CAGATAATACCTGGGAGCCACATTTGGTACTAAAGCAAATTGAGTTGAAATGTTGAGGCAGGAGAGAAAAAGTTCGGGAAAGCTCCTGACGAGTGGAATGAGAAAGTAGGAGTGGACATCACTGGCTGAGAAGCAACTAGGTCCTCTCACTAGAGCCCCCACCTCCAAGCATGATAAAGGGGAAATAGCTAATGGCAGGAGCCTCTTGTGGGGGTCACAGAAGTCAACAGCAACAAGGACTGGCTAAAACCAGGTCAATCCAAGATGGAGGAAAACCCGACTAGAGACCAACCCCAAGGCTCATTATACCATCATTACAATACCTGGCACCACAGGGAGTGGGGTCCAGGGGGAAGTGCCATGGCACTTCCAGAATGAACCATATTAGGAACAAGACCTACCCCTTTCCAAGAAGGGGAAGTCAGAATTTGGTGTCACAAAGTTCAGAAACAACCCACCCTGGGGAGCATATAAAATCCCAAGAACTGACTGACCGCACGTGCAACTCACTCGCAAGTTTGCCTGCGTCCACTCAGACATGCACTTTGGCATCTTTCACAGTGGTGCCCTGTGGGACTTGCAACTAGGCCAGTGGAGGCAGCCAGGCCCAGGCTCACCCCTTGGTCCCTGGGCACCCTGAGGCATTCCAGCCTCTTTCTCTCTCTCCACCTAAGTTAAACTTGCTTTTGTTCTCACTTCAGTTTGCTCTTGAATTCTTTCCTGCATGAGTCAAGAGACTGAACATCCTGGACAGTGCTGGGGCCGGGCCAGCCTTCAGCACAGAACCTCTCTGGTGACAATACCATGCACAGAGATGATAGGGTGGGCTAAGTGTAGAGGCCCGACTGCGGCTGAGTTCTAAAAATAAACTACAAGGAAAAGGAGAAACAAATCATGGGTAGAACATCAGGTGCAAAGAACAAGCCTAAACTAAGATCAATGAAAAGTCAGAAATACATGGGAAGAAAAAGAATTATGATAAGCTTGGGAGGGGAGGTAATTTGGGAAGTAAGGTACAGAGTGTTAATATAATCAGGAGACAAACTAAGCCTGTGCTGTACACAAACTGCGTACACAGAGTGTGTATGCAAATTGAGGTTAAATGTGAGGGCTTCGAGAGCGTAGGAGGAAGGAGGGAATGTATTAATTAAGAAGAACTGTATGCATGATTGGTACTGTAGTAGAAAAACAGAAATCAGATAATTTGTCATCCTTGGTTTTGAGTATGGCTACATGGGACAATTCCCCTAACTCACAAAGAAAATCAGAAGATAGAATTTTTGAAGATGTTCTAAAGTGTGGAAATGTATAGAAAAGAGGAGGTGGTTTGTCAGGGATATTTGGTGGCTACACTTAAGGATTGAGAATATAGGCATCTTAAACCCTGTTTTCGAAACAGAATATTGGTCTTAAAATAAATTGGACCAGTCTCCAAAATCTGTTACTCTAGTTTCTAAAGAAGAAAAACTCCCTGAGAAAAACCGTCACTGATGAAAAATAAGGCCTTTGGCCAATCTACTTTTGATTATATATTTTTGTCCTTTTAGGGAAAACTTTAGGGTTAAAACAACAACAGTGTAATAAACCAATGTCTATGAAGCTGATAAAACTATTTCACTATAGAAATGTAGATTTCTGAAAAAGAAGAGAAACTGTGCTTTCCCAGAGGTTCTTAATAATTATTTCTGTATTTTTAGACATGATGAAGTGCACATGAATAATAACTCTTATGAATGTTAAGAAAATCCACAATAGCTTTGCAAGGAAATAAATGGTACAATTAGAAACATCAACAGCTGTTAACAATATAACAGTGTTGCTCTCTAAGCATTGTGGAATTGCCAAACATATAGGTAATATGCATTTTCTCACATTCTATATTTAAAACCTCTCCTGTTGTCTTCCATTCAAGAAAAAGCATCCCTTGTGCTTTTGTGGGTGATTGTTGTTATCACATTGATAACTTGAATCTGCCCTACTGTATAAACTTAATGACATTGATTTAAAGTAATTTACTTATGATGGCATACATTAGGCCATAATGTTAATGGCTGAATACTTCCTAAATGTTTCACCTTTTTCTGATAAGGAACACAATGAGATTTTATAAAACTTATTAAAGCAAATTGAGGAAAATATTAATATTTGTTTACTTTGGTTGACAGGTATATAGGTATTATTAAATATCATTAGACTCTTTGCTGTAAGCAGCTCAAGAACATACACACAGAAATGTAAACACATCTTTTTACAGGAAAACAAAAGTAAAAACATCATTGAAATATTCCTGTTTAAATATATAAAATATTTATCATGTAAAATATTCCTTGAAATCTATTTCATCATATCCCTATTGAGTATAGGTGCAAAAATCCTCAACAAAATATTAGGAAATAAAATTCAAGAACTCATTAAAGGGATTTTACACACTGACCAAGTGAGATTTATCCCAGGGATGCAAGAATGGTTCAACATTACACAAATAATAAATCTAATTTGTCATATCAATAAATAAAAATAGAAATTACATAATCATCTCAATATATACAAAGAAAAGCATTTAACACAATACAACATCCTTTTAGGATAAAATGTCTTAAGAGACAGTTATAGACGGAACATATCTCAACATAATAAAGGCCACATATGACAACCCCACTGCTAACATTATACTCCATAGAGAAGAATGGAAAGAGTTTCCTCTGAGATCAGGAACAAAACAGGTTGCCCAAGCTTACCGCTTCTATTCAATGTAGTCCTAGAAGTGCTAGATAGAGCAATTAGGCTAAACAAAGAAATAAAGACATCTCAGCTGGGAAGAAGGAAGCAAGACTGTTGCTATTTGCTGATGATATCATCTTATATAGTTAAAATCCCAAAGAGTCAATCAAAAAACTGTTGGAATTAATAAATTCAGTAAAGTGGCAGGTCACAAAATCAATTTACAGAAATGAGATCCTCGGTGATACATAAGAGATGTCTGAGGAAGACTGGCCTAACAAATACAACAACCAGTCCCTCAGTCCATTGGCCCATCAAGATAAATTTAGAGAGGTCTTACTCTCTAAATGAATGAGTGAATGGTCATTTCTACTATCCAAGCACACATGTACACCAACTCTCCTTCCCCCAAGGTACCACATCAGCTGATACCTCAAGTAGCAAGATCCAAGCTTGGAGTGCTGTTGAGGATGAGCCTCACACACAAAGCCACAGAACAAAGAGGCAAAGGACACCTAACAGTCTCTGCACCTTTGCCAGTGCTCACAAGCAAGAGTGACAAACCACAAAAGGCACTTAGCACATAATAACTGGCTAAATTAGTTAAACTCCTTTGATGAGGAAACAAAAAAATTAAAAATGCCATTTTCTTGAAGCCTTTTAACAACAACACGAGCTTACAGGGGACTTTTAAATACCACTGTGTTTCATTAAGTCTTTGTTACTACTATAAAGGATAAGGCTTATTTTTTTGTTATTAATTATTTTGGGTGTGCAAATAAAAATGTATTTTAAAAACACAGAAAGTGATTCCCTGGCCAAGTAGCTCAGCTGGTTAGATCATCCTGATATACCAAGATCATGGGTTCGATGCCCACTCAGGGCACATACAAGAATCAACCAATGAATGCACAAATCAATGGAACAACAAATTGATCTCTCTCTCTCTCTCTCACTCTTTCTCTCCCCCCCAAAACAATAAAAATTTTTATTAAAAATAAAAACACAGGAAGTGAAACAGGGGTAGATAATCAGGCAATAAAACAAACAAAAAAAAAACACCTTTTATTTGGCTTGCAATGGGTTTAAATATATTTTGTAAGTAAGACTGATTACGTATTTTTAAATGACTTGATGGAGGTGGCCTTAGCTCTGGAACCTTTGGCTTTGTCCTCAGTGAATGGAACAAAGAGAGGTTTCTCCAGGCTCCTTTAGATAACTCAATGCCTTGGTATTAGGATGCAACTTGTTTCCATGAGACTAAATCTGACTCTATTTCCAGAAGGCATTTCCTCTCAAAAGAGGCAATATTAGATACTGTATCTTTTTCCCACAAAATAATAGTATTCCTTTGAATGTAGGAAATTCTAGTCTAGTGCCAGAAAGCTACACACACACACACACACACACACACACACACACACACACACACACCCCCCCAATAAACATACTCATTATGGTATGTTTATAGGTATTTTATAGCTGGAAGTATAAAAAATAAGTCATGGGGGTGTAATTCACATCATTGTGACTATAGTTAATACCATATCATATATTTGAAAGCTGCTAAGAAAGTAGATCTTAAAAGTTCTTACCATAAAAAAAAAAATTGTAACTATGAATGGTAACTACGGATGGTAACTAGACTTCCGTTGGTGGTCCTTTCGCAATATATGCAAACGTTGAATTATTAGGCTGTACACCTGAAACTAACAATGTTGAATGACAATCCGAGTACAGTGAAAACATACACAACCCTTTCTTCCAACCTAAATTTCCTACTAGATTCTAGCTGGGGTCATCAGCTTAGCTGAGAGTCAGCTTCTCTAGGCTAAGTTGGGTTGTATCTACTCCATGTTTTTGGGACACTGGGATATCTGAGCCATATTCTTTTCATGGTGAAGGCCAAGACGTAAGAGGACAAGAGATGTCAAAGGACTGATAGTATCTGATGTGATCAGTTTCCTAACATGCAGACTACTTCGTCCTGTAACTTTTTTTAAAAATTTTATTTTGTATTGGTTTTGGTTGTACAGCTTAGTGGTTACACAATGATTTACTTCACACAGCATTCCCCTTGATATTTCCAGTTCCCCAACTGGCATCATACATAGCTATCACAATATTATCAACTGTATTTCCTATGCTTTACTTACTTCCATGGGGCTACTTTGTGGCCACCAGTTTGTGCTCCTTAGTCCCTTCACCTCTTTCACCCATTCTCCCAACTCCCCTCCTCTCTGGCCCTGTTAAGTGTGCTCTCTGTATCTGTGAGTCTGGAAAATATGGAACACTTCACGGATTTGCACATCATCCTTGTGCAGGGGCCATGTTCATCTTCTCTGTGTCGTTCCATCGTTAGCATCCATGCTGCCAACGCAGGTATAGACCTATAACTTTTTGAAGGTTGGAAGACTCGCTAATAGATGTGCTGGGTGCCACCAGGATGTCATCTCAGTTTCTCAACCATAAAATGAGGATGATGATAACATCACCGGGGGATTATTTTGGGAATTACCAGTGAAAAATGCCTCAGAAATTATATAATAAACCCTCAAGTACAACATGGCCGGTCCCTTGACCCCTCTACCTCTCTATTACTTTAATAACTATTTTACAAAGGAATGTAACACATAGGACATTTCAATTTAATCCATCTTGTTATCTCTCAGTTGTTACTAGTAGCATGCTATACCTGAAATAAAATCATGAAATTGAATAAACACGTATTTGAATTCTGCCTGCATCGTTTATTAGTTTGAGATTGTGGTCAATTACTACCAATGAGCCTTGAAGAAACTATCTTACGAAGCTAGAAAAACAATGCCTGTCTCACAATTATTTTTAGTAGTAAAAAGGGCAGTATTTTATCTGTAAATCACTTAGTACTGCATCTGGTACATTAACACATGTAAAACCTACAAGCTCTCTTTATCTCCAATTTAAAACTTTTATAACTGTGGAAATGAATAATTTGTCACATGCATGTTTTCAGGTAATAACTCAAATCACATCATCTCTGTTTGGTGAGTTCTAAATACTTAGGGTAAGTCTATGCTACAGTATTATTTTTTTGCTATCAGACCTGCAAAATGCTGAGACTCAATAGATTTTTGCAATGTATTTTCTTTTCCAGGTTATGTATATAGCAGAAGCCTGATGAAGTCTGTCTGTCTCCCCAAACCTGCTATGTAAGCAGGAATGGCTGACCAGTATTGGGGGAGGTAGGGGAGATCGTCATATCGTGATCAGGGAAAGACACAAATCCATAAAATAAAATAACATTCTAATTCCATTAGAAGCAATATTATGTCATGTATTGTTGAATCGGTTGCAATTTAACAGAAATTCATGACAAATTGCGCCCTGGACAGCCCTGGGATGTTGATGACCATATGCTAAATTCCTCAAGGTGCAGGGAAAGGGGGCTTCGGTGCTTGTAAAGGATGTGCTAGGCCATCGGCAACATATGTGTTGGATGGCTTCACAACACATGGGCCCTCAGGTGAAAATACATGCAAAAAAATGGTGGTCTGTAAGAGAAATCTGCATCTTCTCTCGTACAACTGGAAGAATTATAGCTTTGTATTAAAATTCGATAAAGCCTCAAACTACGTATTCTTAAGATAAGTATAGAGTTTTTCAGGCATGTCTTTAGAAACCTTCAGAAAGATGGCCAATGCTGCTTCTGCCACAGTTGGTCCGTCTCTGTGTTGGGTGCAGGTGTGATGAGTGCTAACAGCCCCTGTGAACGCGGGGGTCATCGCTGCCATCATGCATATTGCCCTCAGTTTCAAGTCATTGTTTTCTTGTTTATGCCAGCTGGTCTGGTGACCATTTTATGTTCATTATTGTATGCAATGCCCAGAACACTGTTATGATGTCTTCATCTCCATTGAACAGATCAGGACTCTAACCCCTAGAGAAATCAAGCCGCTTCCTCGAAGTCCCAAAGCTAATAGATGACCGAGCCTGGATTTGCTCCTGATTCTGTACCACAGGGCCTTGTCTGGATTCTATGCGAATACATGAATAAAATACACATTTGGACCGGTTTTATGCATAATACAATGAACGTTAACTATGTCTATATCATAGTTTTGTATTAGGACAAGGAGTCTTAAAGAAATTTGAAAAATAAAATGGCATTTGTTTCTCATGTAAGGGAAAGCCAAAACTTGTGCAGCAGCTCCATGCTCATGAGAGGCCATGAGGGTCTCAGATTTTTATTCCCACAACCCTGCTGTGTGTCTCTTGCCCTCACAGCCCAAGAAAGTCTCCAGCGCTCGAGCCATCAGATACACAATCCAGGTGGCTGGGTGGGGAAAAAGTAGAGAAAGGGCAAATCATTCTTTTTAATATCCTTGAGAGCTGTGCCTCATAAAACTTTCAGTGATAATCTCTCTTGTTGGCACACGGCCTCATCCTAGCTTCACGAAATATTGGGAAAATGCTCTATTATGTGGGAAATATTGTACCCAGTTAAAAAGTATGCTTCTTGTACCTAAGGATGAAAAAGAGAGTGTATACTTGCAACCACCAGCAACAGAGACCACCAAACCTACAGAAAATAGCCTACCTCCAAGTCTTCCAAAATTATTTTCATTTAAAGAATAACGTAGAAAATGTTAATGGCTCTATAGCATGAATACTCTGGATGACTGGTTTATAAAAATATTTTCCTAATACTTTAAGGATCATTGTATTCTTGCTTATAAGACTCTCAGTAAAAGGCACAGTTTTGTTGGGCAGGAATAAAGAACTGTCGGATTTCTGCTGCATAAGCAGCAAGTACCAAGTGGGGCCAAATCACGTCCTGCCACACTGTGGGGACAACGGTTGCTAAACAACCTGAAAAGAGAAAAGTGATCACAATTTTGATCCCCTGCTAACGTGAATTTTTTAATGTATAGTGCTCTGTATTAATTATAAATTTGTGGTTTTATACTTGTTTATCAGCTAGAAGCCCATGAATTCTCTAACTGGTTTCATGTTTATGACAGAAATAATCTTATAGTAAAGTTAGTCAGCATGGGTTAAATGGGTAAAAGTTAAATCAGCATGGGTTCTGTTTTTTCTCCCTTCCTTTTAAACAAGTTTCTTTCCTTTTAAACAAGTACTTGGTTAGGGTAAATAATCACTTCTATTCAATAGTAGTGAAGCCAAGTTTGCTCCGTCTCCCCAGAAACGTCCTGCGCCACAGTGCGATCCTCCAGCCTCAGGTTAACCGACACTTTTCTGCCTCGTTCCCCCTTCTCAGAGCCTGTCATCATCTGCATCTCCTGCCTGCCTGTGCCGTTGACCAGGAATGGTTTAACGCCAGTTCTCCCGACTGCTCCTTTTGAACTCACAAAATGCAGGAGCTTTGCGAGCCCATCTGGGCATTTCATGAAAAAGTGACCGGTGGACTGAGTGTCCCACGAATGAAAGCACATGTGCCAGACAGGCCATCCTTCCAGGAAGGGCTCGCTGGGCAGTGCGGTCAGCTCCCCCCCAGCCGGCCAGCCTCAGCCCCGCGGGGCCGCTTCCGTGAGTCACTCCCTGCCTGGGCTGCCTTGTGTCTAAGGAACGCAGCGAGGCGGGCCGCAGAGATGGAGCCAATAACGTTTGCTGCAGAAAGGCGCTGGATTGGCTAAACTGTTGCTGGGCTTCCATTGCAGCTCAGCTTTTTCTGACCCGCGCTGCTGCCTTCACCTTCCTTCCGCATGGAAGGATCCTCAAGCTGCCTCCAATTCCCTGCTTCGGAGGAGCCGGAGCCGTGGTCCGGAGTAACTGCTGCGTGGCAGGGGTGAGGTGGTTGGTCTGTCACCTCACTCTTGGCTCCTTTCCTCGGATTCCCTACAAGTCTTTTACTCTAAGCCCTGGTATTATATTTCCACATCACATCTCAGGGTAGTGAAAATCAGAGAAAAATCACTTAGTTAAAGCCATACAACTGGCAAGTTATAAAGCAAAAATGCAGTCAAGGCTACAGCTCTGGGAGCTTAGCTTTCTTTATTTATTCACTTAAAAGAGTCAAAGATAATTTAATGTGTTTAATGTATGCCAGATGCTTCTCTTGCCCTTAAGCAGGTGAATGGGGAAAAATAATGAAAACAGAAACATACCCATGCTTTCCTCCCTCTAACTTTGTGAAACTTATGGTCTCGTGGGGAAAATAGGCATGCCCCAAATAATTAAATTTCAAGAAATTACAATTTGTTGCATCTTAGAAGAGGCACATATGGTCAGGATAACCTATAAAGGAAAACTGAATTTATAAGGGAGATTATTAAAATCCTTTAGTGAAAAAAATTATTCAGATAGCTAAAGGATAAATGATATTTGTCTATGAAAATAAGCAAGGAAAGAATATTTTGGACAGAAAATAGGATATGCAAAGGCCCTGTGACAGAAGTTAGCATAGTAAGAAGGGAGGCTCCCTGTAACTGGATCACAGAGACAAAGAAATAAAGTGAGACCGGAGAGATGCACATGAAGGATAAGGAAGCTAAAGGTAAGAAGCTTTGTCTTTATTGCATGCAGTATGAGAAGACACGCAATGATTCTAAACAGATTTGCATTTGGAAGTCATCACTTTTTTTCATGGCAAGGAAAAGCCATTAGAAAGGGTGAGAATTAATGTGAGACCTTTTGGGAGGCCCAACGAGTTGTCAGAAGATTAAAATGATTAGAGCCAATGGAGTAGACAGCCAAAGGGTCAACACTGAGGAAGGGGGTATCCAGGGCACATGTGAAATATGAGAAAGTCTCCAATGAGCCATTGGATGATTGCAGTGAGAGCAAATCCCCACTGCAGTAGACAAACAAATGCTAGAAGAGAGAAAGAGCTAAGGCAGGAAAGCCTCATATCCACAAAGCCTGAAGAGCCGGGGGATGGTGGCTTCAGACAAACAATCAGCCTTGGAGATGCGGTAATACACATCGCTCTACTCACTGGTCCAAACATGCTCTTACCTTCTCAGAGTATGTGTATTTCTTCAGGTTTCCTTCTATTTGAGAACCGACCTTGTTTTGATTCATAAAGAGTCTTGTAATTTATAAGTGTGAAGTCTGTTCTTGATCCTCTTGCCAATCTCTGGCCAATAACTTAGGAGAAGCCTTGGTCCGTAAGATTGTGTAGATAACTTTGCCTCGCTGCCAAGTTATATTAGGGCTGCACACACATCAGTTCCTGCAGCGTGGAGCAGCGGGCTTGTGAAACTCCTCTACGAGTGTGTTCTGTTGTTCCCTGTGCATTGCTTATGAATTTATCTATCAGGCTCGTAAAACTGCTTGCACTTGCAAGTATTTTAAAGATTGTTTGTTCTTATAAATTAGGTTTTATTTCATTAAGACACATAACAAGCTAGCTAAAAGCCTTTTATTTTCAAAGCAGCACT